CTCTGATGTGCCCAAAAGGGCAAGGTGCTGGGATTGATTTGGACTGGGTTTGAGTAAATTTCAAACCTCAGGAGTTTTCATAGTCTTTCTCTTACGTGAGTGATTTTGTGTCTGAGTCCAAGTCCTGCTGTGATGGCAACCATGGCAACGAGGAAGGAGAAGGGAAAAGAACTGCCCTTTCAAATGAGCCAATCCCAGGTGTTAGATACGCTTTTTTGTTAAACGTTCATCCAAGACAAAAATTCGTTTAAATGACAGGAACTATCAAACACCCAACCAGTCTTCCACTCTCAATGATAATTCATCCTATAAGACTTTCTGAGTGCAGAAAGTGTGCTGGTTCTTCCTATAGAACTGCTGGGGAGATGCAGGCCAGGGCAGGTGCCCATGAGAGCATTGCCTCTGAGTGAGATATGGCTCATGGCAGTGGTCCCAAAGTTGCAACCCCAGTTATGTCTTGGCCAAGAAAGACAGAGTAAGGAGGTACAAGATGCTTCTGGTTCTCCACCAGATAAGACTAGAAAACCCTGCAAGGTTGTCTATTGACTATGACACTGCAGCACTTTTAATTTACTCCCCTTCTATTACTTATGCTTTGGATTGGCAAATATTATTTCCTCTGCTGAGAATAAAAATGTTGTTAATTTATAGACACAGTGCTTCCCACACCATGCACTGAACAGCAGAAGAAAGAGATTACTGGTTTGAAATACCACCTCCAACCTCCATTACAATCCATACTTGGGAAAAAAAAATATGATCTTCCGATGAGCAGGCCAAGCACACTCTCAGCCACAGATGGTTGAAGTGAAAACCCAACTAGAAGTGTATCAGCCTTTGAAGACCTATGGGCATTCATTGTTTGTGCTTTAATTGATTTACCTTTAACTATCCTGTACAGAAGAGACTGTGCTCTACTTCCCTCAGGCAGCAGTTTGCAAATGCACTTACATATTTGATCAGGGGTATAAGTAAAGTACTTGCTTAATTCTAACCATGTGTTTAAGACACATTTTTTAAATAAATGTAAGCAGATAGTTAACAGGTTTTGGAGTTTGGGGCTTTTTTGGGTTTTGTCTTTTTTTTTTCTTTTTTGTAACAGGAAGTTATGTCAAGTTTTGAGGACACTCTATCGTTTTTTAAAATAATGTGTTGCAACTATAGCATGTGCCTGAGCTACAAACTTTGTGTAAAGCAGCCAGTTGCTTGTGAAGAATGTAATATTTCTGTAACATAAGATGTCACACTTTCAAGATTTGAAAGCCTCTTTTGAAGAGCTGCTTCTGAGTCTTATCTGTATCAATTTAGGGAAAAAAAAGTCAATTGAATTTCTCATAAATCACGGGTTCAGATCTACCTCCGAGGGTCAGCAAAGCCAGGCTTAAGCTATCTTTCTCATATGATTGCAGAACAAACTGCAGATCAAACCAACTTTCGAGCAAACTAAGGGTAGGCTAAACCTATATAGCATAGCCCAAGTTAAGGCTGTATTATTTTTTGCCATGCTGTGTATTCCAGGAGTTTCAGCATTCCATGATGTGGCAGCCATCTGGCCCCTGTTGCTTGTTCTGGGCCAGATAGCAGTTACTCAGGCAGAGTGATGTCCAGCAAAGCAGAGCTGCCTGACATGCCAAGGATGCGCGCGTTGAGAGGGAGTAAGGGAATGCGTGCATATGTGTGATGGCATTTGAATTTCCAGCAAGCACACAGTATACATCTTTGCACGTTAGCAGCCTTCCACAGCAGTGTTTACTGGGCTTGCTCTGTGTAAACAGTCTGACATCTGTTTGTATGAGAAAAGCAAAGCTTTGCTAAAAGGCTGGATTAACCTTTGAGGCAAATTTAGAAGAAAATTTGAGGGAGAAATCTGCAGACAGACTTTCTACATTATGAATGCTAACAGTAGGCGAATACCTCCTTACCCCACGTCCTGTCCCTAAAGCCATAACAGTGTGTCTGTGATCTAGCTTTGATAAAATAGAAGCAGCAGCACATGGATCACTTAAAGACAGTGTATAGCTGTTAGTTTTGTTTCGTTTCTGCCAGAAAATTCTTATAGCAACAGAATTTCTAGTATTTTGACCCAGATTAGTTCCAGGGTCCTAAGAACTTGAGCAACTTCTGAGCAAACTCAGCTTGTGCCTCTCGAATCATCATATTGAGAGACAGCATTTTTAGAAGAAAAAAAAAGAAGCTTTTTTGGTTATTTTCTAAGATAAAGATATTAATCTAAAAATGCCACCTTTTCAAATGCATGTACCTAAAGTTAAATTCTTAATTTCATATATGGCTGCCTAAATAAATGACTGAGTCTGTTGAGGCGCTGAACAGTCTTTCCTCCTTTTAGATAGAATAAGGGTATTTGCAGGTTAAAATGTTAATCCCTTGTTAATTTGGGGATACAGAAACTGAGATTTTCAGGTTTTCTCATTTATTTTATCAGTGAAAATGAACTCATTAGCGTTAGAGCCTAATCAGAGGACCTACTAGAAAACTCAAAGATCGGCAAAGTAACTTACTTTCTTTTCAAAGTACTTCAGTTTGACAAAAATACCATATGTGACAGAAAGTGTGGTCATGTTTAATGGGTAGCTTGATCTTTGCTCAGCCCATACCTTACCATAACTTTTCCCATTACAATTATATTTTCTGCTTGCTCTCTTCCTTCCTGCAGCAGAATTCTCAAATAACACTGTACATTATTTTAGCGCATGTCTTAGCGGTGTAACTTATTGTGATGACGATACCATGCTTTGCGAATGACTCTGTGCACCTGGAACTTAGGTTACGGACTTTTAGTTCCAGGACTGGAACTGTAATATCTCAGCAAGTCTTTAAAGCCGGCTTTACAAATAGATGGCTATGTGGTGTCCCGGACATGCATACAGCTTCCTGAGGGAAGGAAAGGGGCAAAATCCAGATTAGGTGGGAAGCGTTTGGCCCAGCAGGATGTCCTCGACATTTCACCCTTAGGGTCATGGTTCAGAATGTGACTTCCAGGCAGAGCGAACTGTGGGGAGGGACAGGATCTCCTGTGGCACAGGAGCTGTCACCAGGTCATTTTGCTGCCAGTGGGAGTACATTTCCCTGTAGTTTGGGGCCATTTTAAGGTCAGGAGTCAAATATCTAGTGCTTTTGTGTTCAGTGCTGCTCACGCAATTGATCATGTTTGTTCCTGTGCGTGCAGGGTTAGTCACCGAGATGAGGGAGAGCATTTCGGTGGCTGGAGTTCATAAAAAAAAGCAGGGATGTCATCTGTTCCTAATGTCTTAAACTGCTGAAGTTTTCTCAAGCTTAAATACGTATTTGTTTATTTCTCAAAAAATTCCCATGTGTTGTGTTTTGTATATAATAGATGTCAGGGCTGCAAAAAGCAAATGCATGGTGCTCTATAAAGTCATTAGTTTTGGTGCCCTATGGCTGTGAAAAGTATTACACCCCTGCTTTAGACTGCACTTCACCCCGAGTCTCCTGCAGTTCCAGATTTGCCAAGCTGCTACCTCCTCTTGCAGGGGACAGAACAAACCGCATGGTCTGAAGTGATAGAGTAGGTGCAGATGGCTTTTAACGCTCTTCTTCCTGCTCTATTCATACCTGGGGGTGAAAATTAATCCACTGAAAGGCAGGAGGACTTCTAGTTTCTCCTGCAGTGATTTCCAACCTTTCCATATTCCTGCTCCACAGCCCTGGGCTGTTTTGTTCTGATGGACCCAGCTTAACGACCATCTGAGGGTTTGATAGGTACCAGATTTTGACCCTTCTTGGACAAGACATCTTGCCAGGCACAAGATTGTGAACTAGCTCCCCCACTAGAGCAAGAGATGTTTCCATCCCATGTTTTAGCCAGACTGAGAAGACATTTTGCAGTTTATCCAAGACATAAGTTTCCATATCTTTTTGTGGCTGGAGATATTTTCATCATGATGTCGATTTTCTTTGTTACAAACATTCGGTCAGCAACATGTCGTGAAAAAAGGTGAGAAATTCAGTGCAAACCCTGAAATCTAAGAGTTGGATGAAAGATGAGTAAGGAAGAGGACAGACAGCAAGGACTGATTTTCCGGTAGTATCTTCTGTCAGAGCAATGTAGTTCAGTGTTTGAATCCTTAGGTCAATAAGAAAAAGATCAAGAGAGTTGGAAAAATAAGAAGATATTAATTCTACAGCCTAGGGACTACTTACAGCTCTCATGCTTTCACTCTTTTATTTTACTATATGAGTCATTGGCTTCCTCCCACCCCCCAGTTCCTTGAGATTCTTAAGTAAGACTAATATATTTGACAGTTTCCTGGGGAAAAAAAAAGAACTAACTCTGAACTGAGATACAACACGTGACATTTCTACTTTGATTTGGATATACTGGGTGGGGGGGTGGGGGGGTGGAGGAGTTTAAAATTTAGTTTCAAAATAAGAAGTTAGCTTCACCTTGAAAATAACAGGAATCATACGTCTCCATAATGGCATTGTACTAGCAACACATTCTTCATTTTTCCTGTGGCTTCTTGGTAAATAAAAAAAGATGTTAAAAAAAGAAAAAAAAAAAAAAAAAAAAAATTAATTCTACAGCTGTGTTGGAGTTAAATGATTATTTTCCCAGCACAACAGAAACAAAGTCATTTATAACAATAATGCCAAAAAAAACCCAAAACCCAGAGTGATCTTTATTTCCAGTCAAATGATGAGGATGAAGAAAACAATAGAAAAACAAAGACAAATGTAAATTCTCAGCAAATGTTTCTCGTTTTCGTTTCTCCCTCTCTCAATTTGTTCAGGAGTTGCAGCTAACCCATGATTAGTCCAACTTTACCTCCAACATTTTTTCACATGTTGATTAATGAGGGAAGGCAGGCTTTGAAGCCACTTTCTTCTCCCAGACAGGTGCAGTGTTTTAACTGTGAAAGAGTTGACATGTGAATTATTTGTAAAGAGGGAGCTATCTAAACACATCATTAGCAAAGGACAAAAGGCATTGACCTAACCTGGTGCCACAGGACTTTCAAATCCTTGGTTGTTTTCCAACTTACTGATTGTTTAAAGGTTTGCCATCATTACTGGCAATGCCTATTTTTCCTCCATTGTTAAATTCAGGTTGTTAAAATCAAGTGTTTGATTTGAATGAAGATTTTTTCCCTTTGTCAAATATTGCCAGTATCTATGGCATGTGCTGTATTTCAGGTAATGCAATTTTAGGCAAACTTGAAGTGCTTACCACAAAGGATGAAAAGTACTATTTGTTGATAAAATATTGTCAAAAATCTGCTCCCACTCCACAAAGAAAGGAAAGTTGATTGTAATCAATTGCTTCATATTTGTAGTTTATAATTGGTTCCCCATTGAACAAAACTATGTCTCTCATTTAAATTTTTAATTATATGCTAAAATATAAGCACATGTCAGCAAGCTTTTATGAAATAAAGCCTTTGTGCTTCTGAATTGTTAAATCTTATTTACAAATATTTTAGGAGAGTTATTGATTATGACATATGGGGAGGGAACAATGAATGACAGTTGACCAAAACAAAATGATGTCTTTTATCTAACTAGTCTTTTCACTCTCCTAAAAATTTAATAAAATATGTTTTACATCTATAGGTCAGGAACCAAAGAGCACATTAGGCATTCAAGTGAAAGGTTAAAGATCTACTACCAAGTAATGAAATGCCAGGTGTTTATGAAACTCCAGAGCCCTGTGGGGGGAAAAGTAGAGAGGAAAGACAGGAAAAGTTCTGAACCTATGGGTAAAACAACATAAACAGGATACCAAAAAGAGAAGTGAGTGGGGAAAGCAGTAATGAAGTGTTGCTCAATACGTGTGAAATCGGAGCCATAATTTCACCCTGCCAGAGGATAAGAAAGGAATGAACAATGAAGGCACAGAGAAAGAGGAGGTGACAGTCACTGTAAATCAATATCCAAGGTTAACACAGGACATTCTGTAAGAACGCTGCTTCATTAAAAATAGGAGTCGTGATGGGCTGGGATTAAGGGACACAACCAATTTAGACTCTGTTAGCTTTCTCTGCGGTATCCCAACGCAGAGGGGGGGCAACTCCGTCAGTTAACACATTTACGACTAGAAAGTGACGGCTGCTACACAAGTGGTAAATAGCTATGAGTAGCAGGGCGCTGGACTTGAGAGTCCAGTGATCTTTTCAAGTCTAGAACTGCCATTATTCTGCCTTCCTTTCACTGAAAATAGGCAAAACACTAGTGAGGGCTCTTTGGACTGGTGCCCAGCCAGCCGAAACAGCCAGCTGGAATTTTTCCAAGTGTAGGAGGTATACAGCTGTCAAGACGCTCTAGACTACAATACTGGCAGAGCCACCGATAGGCAGATGCTACTGCTGCAATTGCATCAAGCCCTGAGCTCAAAGAGATCCATCCTGTTTTCACTCAGACAATGTGGGAACTTGCATTGTGGTCTTTGCATAGTGCCTTATGAAACCCAAATGTCTGGAAGTTAGCTGCTTCTTCCCATCCTTTTCCCTACATTTCTCAAACTTGAGTCTTCATGTTGACATGAAGCCTGGGCAGAAGAAAGAGAGACTTCCTTGTCATATTGCAACAGCCAAGCTTCTGAGCACTTCCACCTGGTCCCTGCTCCTGCTTCTTGCAGTGGAGTACAGCACCGCAAGGAAACACCTGCCCTAGACATGTTTATACATTTTATGCTCCTGTTTTTACTGTAAGAAAGGCACTTAGAATGAAGTGTCACTAGCTGATAAAACTGAGGACTACTGCCCTATGATACAGATTCTGGAAGTGAAAAAATGTTTTTTTCTAGTCTGTCTCCCTGCTGTCTTCTGTGTATGTGCTTGTGGCTTGACCATGATTCCTCTGGTTTAAACTCAGTGTAGTAAATCAAAAGTAGCTTGTGCTCATGTAGCACCTGTTGTCAAGACAATCGATTTTCCAGGAATTTCCTGAAATTAGTATGATTTCACCCTGCTGGTGCCAAGTAGTCATGCTTATATACAGTTTACAAACAAGGAAACTAAAGCTCAGGGTTGACCCAACACCATCAACTGGTGGCAGGGACCAAAGAATACTTGGCCACAGAAGCAGACAGCCAGAGCCACCTCCTAACCAGGGTTTTGCAGCAGTCGATTTCTTGTCTCTGCTGCAGTCAGATCAATGGTAGTACACAGGCTTATATCCATCCGTCTGCATATCTGTCTATCCGTCTACCTACGTACCTACCTACCTGCCCACCTACCTATCTAATCTGTATGTTACTGAAGACTATTAGAGCTGATACAATAGCAAGCAAAAGTGTGTGTGTGTGTGTGTGTTATATATATACGTGTATTACTTTTCCTAGTGATCTTGAAAAGATCTCTCAAATTATTTAACCCTTCCATAATCATTATCATAAAACTCAGAAGAGGTTAAAGCTAAAAGCCCTGGGAGGTCATCTCATCCATCTCTTTGCTCCAAGAGATCCTATTATGATAAAGTATTAGTGAGTTAGAATCATAACAGATGGAGAATCATATGTATGCATACATTTTTTCCCATAGAGTAGAAGAGGGAATCATGTTCAGATTTTTTACATAAAGAAACAGTGTGTAGCTTACCCACTGTGAATAAATCTAATTTAATCATCTTTATGCCTCCCTGATCTTCATCCTCTGAAGTTTGCTGGAGGGTCAGATGTGCACTCTGGGAAATTTTCCAGATTCTGTGTTGGTTCTCTCTGCCCCTACTCCCCCTCTTCTTAAACCCACTACTCAGCCTTGTGCTGAAGTTTTTCTACGTTGTAACTGCCACCAGCAGTGCTGAGGCTGTTTAAGGCCCCAGCTTTGCTGCGGGCTGAGCAAGAGCACTCCAGGTCCTTCAGTGCCGTTGTGTGCTGCAGCCTCTGTGTGGCAGCAGAAGATAGCATGCCTGGGAAGTGACAGTTTGGGACCAGATTAGGATCATTTTCAAAGGAAAGGCTGGTTCTGGACAGTGGGAATTTGGGCTCTGCTTTCTACTTCCACCTCTGCTTCTAATCTTTATATGATCTTTGGCAAATCTCTTGACTTCTATGTTTCCCAGCTGCAAAAATACTTGGATGCCCAGTGCCCCATCCTGTTTATACTTTTTTTCAGACTTAGGTTATCTTGGAAATAATTTGCAGATAACCAGATACTTAACTTACCTGACAGTCGTCTTGTATTTTTTTAAAATATTTCAATTCATATATGAAACAATAGTTCCATCTTCCACCTGAAGGCTGACAGACTTCAACTCTCACTTGCAATTTCATTCTTTTCTTTGTGTTTTGTTTTGTTTTTCTTTTTCCCCTCTAAGTTCTTCTTCTAACAATTAAAGAATTGTACTGGGTAGTATTTGTCTAACCTTATTGGGTGCTTTTAGTTACTTCTCAATGAGTCAAAGCCAGGATCAACCTCCTTTTGTAAAACCCAGTTGAAGATGATCAGAATCACAACATTTTAGTTTAAAAATCAGTAGTAGTATTTAATTTCAGTGTAATAGGGCCTCAGCACTCCAGGTATATACAGTCACTCTGGTATATCGGGTGCATTGGAGATACTTCAAGAAAAGCAGATAAAAAATGAATGAGATTTGTGGTACTAAATAGCTGCCTTTCCTTGGAGAATGAAATCTAACTTGTAGCATTTTGGTGTGGTGAGTGTTACTGTCCATCCTTTCAGGTCTAAAGCATATATCTTGTACTACTGCACGCTGAAATGCTGGTGATACAGATGCTATAGTTGGGAGCAGAATTCGGACATTGAAAGGATCTCCTGGTACCTGTCCCAGCTGCACATGCCTCACTGCTTGCTGGCACCCGAGGGATGGGCCATGCCATGTGCCAGCCGAGCCTTTTCTTCACCTCAGTGTTGCGCTGACGCGCATTCTGGTTTTGCTGATGAAACTCACTATCTCATTCTTCTTTATCCAACCCCACAGCTGAAGGCTGATGAAAGGATCATCAAAACAGAGCACGGGCTGCTGATCCGCAGCTTGCAAAGAAAGGATGCAGGAGCATATTTCTGCAAAGCCCAGGAGCACACCTTTGTCCATACCATTGTGAAGCTGAATTTAAATGTCATTGAGAACGGGCAAATGGAAAGCACTCAGAAAACTGAGGACGAGGAGGGCCGGGTGAGGGATTTGCTGACGGAGTCCCGGCTGAGGTACAAGGACTACATCCAGCTCGTCAGCAGCCCCAGCTTTAGCCTGGATGAGTACTGTGAACAGATGTGGCACCGGGAGAAGCGGCGGCAGCGGAACAAAGGTGGTGCCAAATGGAAACATGTGCAGGAGATGAAAAAAAAGCGAAACCGAAGGCACCATGAGCCAGCCAGGCCACCGTCTACGTAGTTTGTAAATGCTATTTAAAGAAAGGACATTTTCCACAAAAAAAAAAAATACTGTGTTCTGGTTTTGTGCATCTTGCCTATGGATTAGTACCGCTTCTTGCTGAAATCAGATAATTTACCATCACTATTAATCTGTATGAGACTGTACAATGGGATTCAATACCAAATGAGATGTTCCTTATTGGAGTACCACACACCAGGCAATAATTTCAAATGCACTCATTAAAAAGAAAAGATGTACACTTTTAGCTAATTTCTGGGTAGCCTGAGGCTACGTGAGCTGTGTTCTGTACTTCCTGCATAATTTTCACATAAGATTTAGTGTCCGTGTTCCCATGTTAATATTTGCTGCCACATTCCACCCCAGAGATGGCTACGTTTCAGGAGAGGGCAGATGTATTTCTAGTTCTTTGGAATCTTTCTGAAAAAGAAGAGTGGTAAAAATGTGTGACAGATCTGCAAAAATACCTGCTAATTTACCCATTGGGCTTGCATACAGGCACATGGGTGGTGTTTGCTAGCACAGAGAGGCTCAGCAAAAAATCAAATTAAATATTGGCTTGGGGACAACATTCATTCTCCCTATAAAAAAAAAGTGAAAGCATAATCATAGTTTAAGAGAGGGGAATTATCAAGCGTTATTCATTAGATTTTGAGTAGCCACAAGTTTGCAGTCCATCTGCTGAAATGAAATGTTGACTCTAATCGAAACTGCCACCGAGATGTTTAGGAGTGAATTTCCTAAGTGGTCCGTGGGAGATACGTGCACAAATCCTATTAACAAATAATAGGATTCCTGCTTGTGTCTCTCCTATCTCTCCAAAGGTTTGACTCTGCCTGTTTCTCTGGCCCTTTGCTAGCTTTGTTTCATGCAGAGAAAAAGAAAAATAAAAGACAACAACAAAGCTAAAATGAAAGACGATGAGGGAAAATATTTAGTGACTGAGACCAGTGCTCTTGACACAGAGCTGACATTCCTCAGATGTGTGTATTCTTTGGGATTTTCTTCCAAAGGTCTTATGTATTTTTGAGTTGAAAATTTGCATTGTTGGAATTAATACTTTTATTATAATTAATAAAACAAAGATGTCCATGTGTAAATAAAACTTGTAAGTTAGAAATGTGCTGTATACTATAATATCATTTGTAAAGTGTTCTTTGTTCCTTGGTTCCTATTTTGATTTTAAGAGTGTAAATTTTTCCATGTAAGCAAGAAACACTGGCCTCATTCTTGTCTATTATGCATCAATGTAATTTCTTTGAATTTATTTCTGATATGCAGCAACAAACACAAGCTCAAAATCAGATCTACGGTCTCTTCTCATGAGTCACAACCCCCCTTTCCTCTCTTCCATCTGACCTCCCTCCGTTTTGCCTTTCACGCCTTTTTGAGTGTGAAATGACAAATTAGCCACTTCCTCACATGGAAGGGAGCTTTGATGGGTACCAAAACGACAGACTTTACTTGTTTCTCATGCATTCTACAGATCTTGAGAGCAAAGTCTGTGGGAAACCCGTGTAATTGCTGTGCACCTCATTAAGGAGCCGAAAAGGTTGGCTCTGAAAGTTGTAGATTTGCCCTTGCCCATGCTGGTGTTTGTGTGCGCATTCAGTCCCTGATCGATAATTCCATAAATCCAATTTGCATTGTTGTTCGTTTCCTCTCTGTTGAAAGTCAGACATGGAGAAGCGTTTGTCCGATTTCAGAAAGGAATCTCAGCTTACTCACGTTTCTTGTAAAACCCGAAAGCTGAGTTTGCATGTGTTGTCTAAAAGCCAGCGATACCATATGTCATTAATTTTAGATGTTTTTTTAATAGGAGATGTATGAATTAATTAGGAGATACTAGATAGCATGCGTACAATGCTTTGATAGTGTAAAGCACTGAGTGCTAAATATTATAAAATACGTTTTTGGGGGGGAGGGATTTTCTCAGCAAGGACCTTTAATCAGCAGGAGAGAAATGCTGAAGATAATAACCAGTCATACAGTAGAGAACACACAGAATTTTTTTGCGTTTTTGCTGCAAAATAACTTAGGCCAAGAGTTTCACAAGAGGCTCGTTGTTTTGGGTACCTTCACTTTAAGGCCAATTAAGACTACTTAAAGGAGGTATGAGGAGGTATTAATCTACTACATTTAAAGCACCCTAAGACAGGGATGCTCGATACTCTTGGCTGGAAGGTTATGCTGTCACCATATAGAACCTGCCTAATTATTCCTTATTAGATTTTTATCAGTCCACAAAGTCCCGTTTCTCTGACTTGGACATTAAGTAAATGAGTGGAACCACACCAAGGCTGTGGAGTAACAGGTGGTCTGCATTCACATGTGTTGACAAAGGGCCTACTCTTCTTCCCTACCGTGACACAGTACTTCAATTATCGCATTTCAGACAACTCTCATCACGTGTTTTCCTACTTCATAAACAAATGGATCAATTCCTTCTTCCGTATTTTTCCTCCTCCTTAAAAACTAAATCATCTGATTTATGTTTAGATATGACTGGGGGTATGTATTCTACAAATGCATCCCACTCATTGACTTTAGTAGAAGTCTGGGATAACGAAGAGTCTCAGTGCTGGGAGCATTAGATTTAAATGGTTGAATTAAAGTGTTATTACTCTTAAAAATAACTTTCATTTATTTTATTTCGAATGTTGTTGCAATAAGATTCTTCTCAAAGAAATGACCTCATCAGTCTGGGGTACAGTGGTAGTGTAAAACCCCAAGTGAGATATAAAGCCTTTTCCATCATGGGAAATAAATTCCATATCCTCCAAACTAATGTGCTATATTGAGTTCATGCCACCCTGGGAAGCATATTTAGTAATATTGCATAGGTAAAAGTCTTCATTTTGATATACTGGGTAAGATGTACACTACAGCTGGAAGGACTAGCACAGCTCCTCGTGCACAGCAAGTATTAAACATGCAAGAAGGCCAGAGGACCTTGGAGTTCAGGGAGTGTGAGGAACAGATCAGGGATCAATACTGAAAGTAAGACAGGGTTTTGTTAGGCAGGACTCAGCAATGCAAACCGAAGAGTAGGAGTAGGAGGGCAGTGGGTCTTTCCACAGCCTATAGTCCCAGAGAGGAGTTCAAAGGATGAGCTAGCTCAGAAACTAGAACAGGAGAGGTTCCCCTCTCTTTTCAAAAAATTTAATCTTCTGTATAATTTAAAGACTCAACTCTAAGTCTGCTTAAATTTCAAATCAATGATTTGGGGGTCAGTTGGACTGCTGTGAGCTGTACTATGTGCCACAACAGGCTCATAGTTAAAATGAAACTGAGCCTTGCCTCCTTCAAGAGCTCAATAAAAATGAAGTTAAACGAAGTTTTGGTCCAGAGTGGAAAAAAGTTGCCTCCACCTTAATAACTGTAGGTTTAAAACAGATCCCTTAGCTCATATGATACAACACAGATATTTATTTACATATGCATTCAACTGGGAGTCCAATTATTAATACATTATCTTTTCCTTCAACAAAACCTTTCCATTGACCCTACTTCAGCAAAAGGTCAGCATTGGACTGAACTGAAGTGGTTTCAAATAGATTCTTAGAATAACCAGCACAATGTGAGCTATAGTTACAAAAATGCTGAAAACTGACATAAGCTTTAAAGCCCAACAGAGCACTAAACGTTGTAGCAATCTTGCAGTCAGTTAAAATAAAACAGAAAATGGGATTAGCAGAAAAAGGAATAAAGTATTAACACTTATTGTGATAAACTAGTTCCGTTACTGGAAACCATTCCAACAACAGGTGTGAATGCGTGTTCATGCCATAAGCAAATACTTTTCTCTCCAAGCAGTTAAACTTACATTGCTTGAGGTATCTAAGAACCTGAATACTTTCCAATTTGTACATAGATTTTGGACCTGGTTCTTACTTCACTCATAATTAAATCTTTAGGTTAAATGCAACAGATTTCCACTGATTCATGTGCTTTTGACATCGGAAGATTCCTACAGTTCAAATGTTATAAACCCTTTAATCTAAGCATTATGAGTATTGATCTGCATTTAACATTTCAGATAATGAATAATTATTTGTTATTATTAGTCATTATTCATGTAGTGAGCCCAAGTCTCATAATAACATCTCAATATTTAATAATGACTAATGGAAATGGAGTTTGCTAATGCTTTGTCATATAAGCACATTTGTATAGGAGTGCATATACAAATGTCTTATTTTTTGTTCATTTTGTAACAGAGGTTAATTTGCAAAAGGCAAATGTGATTTCAAGAGTCAAGGTTCAGCTCAGCTTCCACTGACAGCAGAGATTAAAATCCTTCTGGAACTGAATCATAGCCTAAATAGACTATAATCCATTTATAGTCTGGTAGTCACACACTCAAAGCTATGTGCTGTTCTGTAGAATATACTGGCCTGGTTCTTCTCACACACAGTTGTAGATGAGATGTGGAGGTCTAAGGAATTACATCTGCATGAATGGAAAATTAAGCCCACGTGTCCCTCTAACATATTCTGTTACATTTTACAAACTTTAAATGGTCTCTATTGTAATATTTTACCGTAGTGTTGCTAATATTACCCTGAACTAGGCTTCTGTCGTTAGCTGACGTGTGACATTCTTTACAGTTGTAATCCAGGTTTTGAGGTTTATAAAATAAGTTCATTACAGTAACAAAAAAGATGGCATGGGAAAAGAGTTTAATTATAAATTCTACAAGGCAGATTTGTAAAATTTTATTTCTATATAGCAGAATAACGGTTATCCTAATATGGGTTAGAAACACCAGTGTTTGTTTTTGTCTTTTGCTCAGGTTTGTAATCTCAAATTGTAATCTTGAGTTTATCACTTGCCAATGTGTGGCTGAAACATCTGGTCTGACAGCTGTAGCTAGATTGGGTTTTTACTTGCTTGTTTTTTCTTCCACCAGTTGAGCCTGTTGTCTCTTGCCTTCGAGACTCTCTGATCTGTCAGGTAACCTCACTTTTATAGAGAGAAATACTTTGAGATCTGGTGTTTCCTTGGCATATAAATATCCATACAAAATCGTAGTATCATAGTCTGCCTTCAGATGATGACTTTCCTGAGCATTGGCTTTTGCATTCAGTTGCAGATGCAAACCAAGCACTGTGAGGTAAATTGGAGAGCAGATGGGGTTTCCATTTACAAAGGAGATTTTGGGGACTGTTGCTTAGAGCTCTCCTTTCTTCTATTGCTTGTGTGGTTGCTGTGTATAATTCTCCAATTTAAAATCAAAGTCTTTTTTTGCTTTAAAGCATAAGATTTTCCATGTGATATAAAAACAGAAGAACATTTCCAGGTGATTTTTGTGATTTATATGGACTGCTGGTTAATAGTTTCAAACAGTACAAGCTGAGGAAAT